CTGTCACTTGGTAGTATTTGTTCTTTTGAAGAAGTTCAGATTCTGATAGTGTCTAGTTTAATCAATTTGATTGCATGTTAACTGAAAGGTGAAACATGGAGTCATAGAAAGTATGGATGGAGTTGTCACAAAGGTAATGACCTTCCTTGACCTTCCTTTTCTGCTGCCTAGTGTTTCTTTCCACATGCCCAGTATGTGGGCACAGAAACAGTGACTCTCCTAAAGCCCTTCCTGACTCCCAGTTCCCTCTAGAGGGGCAGGAGGAGCAGACCATCTCTGAGTTCTAGGTGGTGAGCACTTGTAAGCTTCCTTTATATATCTACACTGACACTTTTCAGTGTGGACAAAATGAGAGTTAGGATGTTAACAAGGTATTTTTGTGGCTATAAAGAAAACACAAATGCTCTATCAGCAGTGAACTGTGTAAAGTTAACTGTCATGTGGTACTACAGTATGTATACTGCAATTCTAATGTCTCTCTGTTCCTACTTGTGCATTTCAGTAGAAGACTTTATGATTCTGATACTGTGTGATGTTATGAACCAAAAAAGAGTTAATTAGGCTCAGATACTTGGATGCCAGAGGATGGTGGGTAATGCACAGTCATGTATTAGATAATTCTAAACAAATGGCAAGAAAATTCGTTTTAGGTGCTTTCAGGTGGATGTTATAATTGCCAGTGTAGGTGTACAGGGTTTGGAAAGGAAGGAGTTTTGGTTGGGTCTTGAAGATGGTAGGGGAGAAGGGAGGGAAACCAGGTGCTGCTTTATTAGAGAAGTCTGATCTTTAGTTAACTCAAATTTTGAACTTCTTATACTTTCGGAATTGAAGTGGTGTTAATGGAGATGCTAATTAACTGTGATAATTGCTAAGGAAAGTTGACTGTGTTGGAAAATGGAATATTCTTATTTCAGCCTATGTTAAATCTGTTTTTCAAGTCCAGGATAGTTTTGAGCTTTTGTTGCAGTTCAAAGTGTCTTGGATTCAGCAGTTGGGATATGGAAACAACTTACAAAAACATTCAAATGAGTCCTAGTGGAACAGAATCTCAAATCTGCAGTAGGCATTAAGTCAATTTTGAATTGGTTCCCAGACCTTTGCTCTTTGTTATTTCTGGTGATTTTCGTGTATTAGTAAGGAAGATGTGATTTTTGTTGGAAAGGTTAGGAGATAGCTGTGATATTTTAACCTTGACTCTGACTTGCCCTATGACTTGTTAATCACTAGGGAAGACTTGCTCACACAGTTGCACCACTACAGTTTTATATAACTGTAGGGCTGATGCCCTTGTTGGCCATCTTCCAGTTAGGAGTAGCTCTTTCCAGCTTCAACTGCTTTCAAAATAATGATTAAACTGAGGAAACTCACTGTGATTGTGCAGTAAACATTTCCATGGGGAGTTCTGAAACCCAACTGGAGTATTTATAACACAATATGAATTTCCTTATGGTGCATCAAAGATATATATCAGCGATTCCTAAATCTGAAAATACGCTAGTAAGGAGTGCAAAACCAAGTCTTCATTCCTCTTTCCTGAGGAAAGTGTAGCCAGTAATGAAGGTCTAACTGTAAGAGGAGAAGGTGAGAAGTTGCCATGAGGAGCTGTCTCAAGGGACAGTAGTGTGCTCTCTCCCTTATCAGGCCTGTTTCTGGGGTCTGGACTAGTCTTGGCAATCTTGTTCTCATGGTCAGCTTTGCCAGGCATGCAGCTGGGAGATGCAGAGCTGGTGGCAAGTCACAGCCACCTTGCAATTGCTTGGGGTTAGGCTTTGCAAATTATCGTTCAAGTGAGGGGAACCTCCCTGTTTTTAGAGGTAGACCTCTGCTTGTGGGTTGCTTTCTGGCCTTTTAAACATCCTCAACAACTTTCCCAGACAACTTGAGCTGGCACTGCTTGCTTGGCTGGATTGTCAGATTCCTGGGTGAGAGCTGTGCATGGATTTAACCACATACTAAAACCTTGCTGCCTCAGTATAAGAAGGTAATTTGGTAATATGGTTGTCCTGTGTACATACAGTGTTTAAGCCCTTGACTTGTTTGAAGTGCCTAAAATTCTTGTTCCCCAGAGTATCATCTGCTTTGGTCTTGTAAACTTTCCAACAGCAAACAGCAGTTCAGCAGTCCTTTTGTATGCTCATTCCTGAAGTTTGGGTACACATCCAAACATAAAGTGTTATTATGTGTAAAACAGAATGGAGGTCTGGGTGGTGAGCCCACACCTGTAATTACCCTGCACCATCAGCATGCATTTGTGGCCAGCTCTGTAAAGGCCCATGTCACTTGTCCTGGTGACATGAGGCAGTTGCTGTTGCTGGAGCAGCCACGATGAGTTCTTATGCAGCTGAGGCCCAGGTAGGACAGGGTTCCTGATGGATGGAGCATGTGGGTGGACAGTCTGGGGGAGCTGCAGCTCAGGGAGGCCCAGGGGCCCCTCTTGAAGGAGCTGCTGCCTGGTAGTGTTGGCCTATCGGGGCCAGCTGCAGGTGGGTGTGACTTGCTGCAGCTGCTCTGATACTCCTGCAGAGCCCTTGGTGGCTCAGTTCTGGGGCTGGGCACAGCCTGAAATGGGAGCATGCTGCTGAGCTGATACACCCTGTGGGGTTTGAAAGTCTGCACAGTGAATTTGAGGGGTTTGTTGGTGGGCTGGATAGAATTGGCTTCACAATAGTTTATTGATATAATAGGTATGTTATTGGCTCTTTCTCATGTTTGGGAGATGCCTGTTAGATTTAGGTGTAAATACACCTGGTGGTGTATTTAGGCCACTACAGTATTTAAAAATCACCATGTATGTCTTGAGCATGCTGAACAAAATGTAGTGATAATGCAACTGTAGTACAGGATTATTAATTAATTAATTTACAGGTAAATTAAATTGCATTGGTGCTTTCTGATGTTCTGAAGGGAGTGTTCAAACAAAGCCATCTGGTAAATTTTCATCTCATTTTTTTCCTTGAAAAAGGGAGATGATTTTACCTCTTAGCAGAAATTAATTAAAATATATCTGTGTTGAACAACTGGCAAAAATACATTTAAAAAATTTAATGATTTTTACCTCAGTAGAATGATGTAGTAAATAAATACTAAAAGAATGGCTAATACAAAAATATTAAACAGCTATTTCATTACATGATCAGTGTCTAAAAAAATAGAAGTGTTGGTGTAACTGGAGCACAGCCTCATAATTATGATATACTGCTTATATCTTGGAGGGGAATCAAATGCATCTATACATGGGGTTTTGTTGTTAAGCATGTGCATTACAGGTGTGTCATGGTTGTAAGTATTGCTTTGACAAGCCTAACTTTCCCCCATGCTAAGTGATTCTGCCTGGCTCTGAGCATGCAAGATACTTCTGGTGCAGGATTATGGTCTAGCTTTTGAAAAACTGTATTTGAGTATGAGACTTACTCTGTTATCCTTACTTTTTTCCCCTTACATCTTTACAGAGAATAACGTACAGCTTTAGACAACATAATGTAGGGAAAGGTTTTGAGGTAGTGCTGGTTCAGGTTGCAGTAACTTGTGTTTGTGCAAACTGACCTTTAACCTTTGTAGGGTACTAAATAGTTTGGTGGTGGTGTATCTCTTTTTGCTTTTGTGATGGACTGTCTTTCTAACTTGCAGGGTTAAAGGTGGGGAGAAAGAAGTTTAAAATAGCAATTTTGTCACTGCTTGTGTAGTTAGAAGGCTAGGAAGACAGAATTTGCATTATAATGGCTCTCATTTTGCCCCATACTGTGTAATTTAGTTGTGTTCTGTGTCTGTAGCTCTCGGAAGACTTGGAAACAATTATTTTTTTATGACTCCATTCACTCCTACCTATCAGTCCTTTACTGTTCTTTACTGTAATTGCCCATAAGATAAAGTCTTTGCCATTTTCACATCACTTTGACTTCTTATTTACTCTGAATACTAGATTGCTATGCAACTTGTGAAGCTGGTGGTACTTCATGTAGTACCTCTGGGTATTGAGAAACTTCTCAGTAGGGAAAGGGAAAGTAAAAGCTGGGAGAGTGTTATATTTGCAATATCTTGGTTTTTCCCTGAAATGTGTAAGAAGATTACTTAGTTTGGTGTGGTTTATGTGAACATTTGGAACTCTTAGAAAATCCCATCAAGAATAATGGAAGAGTTTTTTCTTGCTTAGAAATCTTAGAGAAATGGGAGGCCTTAAGAGCAGGAAATTTAAAAGAAGGTTGCAGTGTGGAATGGATATTCTTGTTTAATTGTAGATGGAAGTGTTCAGGTGACTTGAGCTTAGGCACAAATACTGATCTAAAAGATATTGAGAATTATCTCCTTTCTCGTTTCAGCTGTTGAAGTGTTTTCACATTGAGGAAAACCAAGTTGCCTTGAAGAGTAGTTGGTAGGGAGGCCAGAAGCAGGTGGCCATTTGGGAAGTGCTGCTTTTGGTGTTCTAGACATCAGTACCTTTATTGCAGAGACAGGTGCTGGAAAATTTGGTCTGCTCAGTATGCACAAACAGAAATAGTAACCTAGAACTAATAACAAGTAGTCTCAAAATAAAACAACAGTTTAAGGAAACAGCATTGCTTCAGTAAACTTAAGACCTGATTTTATGCATCTAACCATGTAGGCTGTTGATAAGCCTATTTAAATTTTCTGATCTAATGTTGAGGAGAAAATGTCTGTTAATTTCTGCATTGGTATGTTAGGACTCTTAAAAGCATCAAAATTATAAAGGCTGTTTGTTTGCTAGTAATGAAATAAAGTTTGAGAGTTAGACCAGTGAAGGGACATACTGCATTACTCTAATTGTAAAATCCAAGTGAGTTTTACACTATGTGAAAAAGAAATGTGCATGTGATCTATTGAAATACTTCTGCATCTGAACTATGGTTCACCTGGCTGTGATCCAGGTTTGGGACAACTTTCCTTCTCCCTTTCCCACTTCTTTGCCCTTCCACCTCCTTAGAATGCAGATGTTGATTACTGTGAAATCAGACATGGTGAATAGTCTTTCTCTTTTCTTTCAGGGACCAGTTACTCTCCACAAGAAAATTCACACAACCACAGTGCTCTTCATAGTTCAAATTCCCATTCTTCTAATCCCAGCAATAATCCAAGCAAAACTTCTGATGCAGTGAGTATTTGTGATTGATTTTTATCGGTGTGTTGCCCTGTTCGTACACACCATATTTTCATAATTTTGTCTAAGACAGGCAGCATATACACTGTGCTTGAGTCTTTATTTTATCAACACTCAGTAAACTCAACCTGCAGTTATGTGTTTTAAAACTATTCTAATTGGTAATCATTAGAGCTTTCATTTACCTGCCATTCATTTTAAAATATTAGATTGTTTAAATGACATAGAAACAGGAGTATTTTTCCATGAACTTTGTGGTAAACTTAGAGTAGACAGTGTGATTTTACTTATTTGAAATGCATTACATACTGTGAATTTTAGTCACTTCAGTATCAAAATTTTAGTAGTTATAGTGGTGGTATTAAAAAATTGCCCAAAACCAAAATTGCTTAATTTGTGATCGGTGGGAAAATTTTGGAAAGATAATAATTCTGAGGATGTTGTAAGGTGAAGGAAACTAATGTTACCAGTATTGACCTTACTGTATCCCACTAAATGTACTACTAGATTTTGTTAAGGGGTTTGATGGGAATAAATCAGAGGAAACTACTGCAGAATGCAGCAGGAGCATACTGGTCTTGTGTTCAAGCTGTCATGTAGAGGTGGTAGAAAGCAGTGACATGGGTACATAAAAGGTGCCATGTAGTTTTTAAAACAATGAAAGCTATTAAATTTGTATATTAAAATTCTCAAGTAGTCTTTTGTCCAACACTGTTTTGTTTTAAAGGCTTATGATTCTGCGGATGATTGGTCTGAGCACATCAGCTCTTCAGGCAAAAAATACTACTACAACTGCCGGACAGAAGTTTCACAGTGGGAAAAACCAAAAGAGTGGCTGGAAAGGTATATGTTTGTATTTGTTTTAATTGTATAAAGAACAAATACTCTTAAGCACATTTCAGAGCACTTGAGCTTATCTAATAGATTACTGCCATAAAAGATTGTGCTCTAAGTCTGCTGTGTTCCTACCCTTACCATGACCTCTGGCACCTCTTTTATCCCTTGACAATCCAGAGCCTGAGAGGGAAGTATGGTTGGTTTGTGTGGAGGTGATTTGTTGGGGGAGTTTTGTTGTTTGGTTGGTTGGTTTGGTTTTTGTTTTGTTCTGGGCTTTATTTGTTTGTTTTCATTGGATTTTTGTTTTAGTTTTCTGGGTGAGTGTTGTTTTTAATGTTTTGTTTCAGGGTGGGTTTTTTGGGTGGTTTTTTATTTTGGACAAGATTAGTGAGCTGAATTGGTGTATTGTGAGCTTCAACAAGCACACATGTAAGGAGGCAGTGGCTGGAGTTTGCTAACCCCACCTGTAGCAGCAAGCTCTTAACAGTTTAATATCTCATGTAAATTATTGAAACTGTTTTATTATTAGATAATGTACATTTTTACCTAACTTTTGTTTTCTTTTCTTCAGAGAGCAGAGACAAAAAGAAGCAAGCAAAATGTCAGTTAACAGTTTTCCAAAAGATAGGGATTACAGAAGAGAGGTGATGCAGGCGACAGCTGCCAGTGGGTTTGCCAGTGGAAGTATGTGGTTCTTTTACAGCAATATATTCTTGCCTTGTTTGTATTACTGTTTTCTTTTCCAAAATTCAAAAACAATGAAAAATCCCTTTCCTTAGCTCTTTTTCTCACCTTTTCATATATAAAAGCCAAATGGTTAGCACAGTTAACTCTCCCAAATGTGGTTTCTTTAAATAACTTCACTAGTGCAACATTTGCTTAATGCTTTTCATGGTTCTCCTCCTTTTTGTGGCTTTTGCTGTTGAGTTTAATTATCTTCATGGGTAGTTACTTAAATTTGCATCATCTGTAATTTAGTTGGACTGTTGTGATCGTTGAGACCTGCTAATCTCATATTCTGACCTTAAAAATAAAGATTTCACATCTAAAAATAATAACCTAATTCAATGAATTTTGATATCAGGGTTTTCAGAGGCTTGTGTGTGTTATTGAGGGCATATTTTTGCCTCACCAATACTCTTGGCAAAATCTTCCCTGGACTGTAAATTTCTGTAACTTGCAGATTTTTATTCTGATAGTTAGCTTTAATCTCTGTCAGTTTTCTTCTGGTAGATAGTTGTACTGTGAGATCCTGTCTGTATCTGATGTAGTTTGGATAAATTTGTAGCGTAGGTCTCAGGGTAGTTTAAAAGCAGAAGCCAAAGCATTATTCTTCACCCACGCTCTTGGGATTTGACAAGGTGATGTGTAAAGGGGTATTTTTCTGTGTACACTGAAACTTCCTCTGCATGCTAAAATATACTGGATGCTGCAAAAAGATAGCAGTCATGCATAATGCAGTGAGTATTTGTTTTGTGACAGGTGAAAATGTAAGAATCTATAAAAGAATTACTCTCTGTTTACTTGGTATGTTCCCTGAGTAGCATATTTTAGTCTATGATCATGTGACCAGTGCAGATGAGTCATTCATTTAATATATATAAATGCCTTGAATTAACTGTAAGTAAGCTTGTTGTAGTAGTACTCAAGTGACATGAAGAGGAATTCTTTGAAGGCTAGAATGTGAAACTAATAAATGATACTTGATCTTCAGGGATTTTAATGAACAAAAGAAAAATGGCATAAATTATCTCTTCACACTAAATACAAGATGGAAATAATAGATCTTGATTTAGATCTTTTTAGGAGACTTCAAAAGTTAACTTGACTGTAACACTCGTTACAAAGCAGCCTTTCATCAAAATACAGTGCTTAACTGGAGCTCTAAATCAAGCAAAGGTCAGAGAAAATGCATTTTGTCAGTGAGTAGAATTAGATCAGCATCAAAAAAGGCAAAATTTACTTGAAGCTTTTTTTAATCATAAGTTCAATCAGCTCTTGTTGTTGGTGTGCAGCTGTATTAATCAGTTACTGCAATCTTAGACTTGTTTCTAATTTAATCTTTTTTTTTGTTTTTGTTTTATTGCAATGTTACTTGGGGAATTCTGAAAAAAGTGGAAGACAAGCATTCCAGTGACACCAGCAGTATGCTCCCACAGAATATTTTATCTCAAACGAGCAGGCACAATGACAGAGACTACAGACTGCCAAGAGCAGAGACTCACAGTAGTTCTACTCCAGTACAGCATCCCATCAAAACAGTGGTTCATCCAACTGCTACCCCAAGCACTGTTCCTCCTAGTCCATTTTCTCTACAATCTGATCACCAGCCAAAGAAATCCTTTGATGCTAATGGAGCATCTACTTTATCAAAACTGTCTACATCCGCATCTTCCATCCCTGCACAGAAAACAGAGAGAAAAGGTATGTCTCATGGAATTCCCTCTAGTATTCAAATGATGCATTGCATTACATTGCTTGTTCAAAGTATGTTAGTACTAGAATTTAAAGATTTTTTTCCTTTTTGAATGTGTGTGCTTTTAGAACCTGATTACTGTTTTGATGTGTTTACTTTCCCCCAAACCCAATTTGCTGTGTCTTATACAACTTCAGATTGACACTGTGATATTTACTATTTATGGCCTTATTCTGCAAATTAACATTTCAAATTATAATTTGAAAGATGTATTTTTGTAAAACATATTTTAATTCTTGTTTTCTCTCTTGTTGTTTTGGATCTTTGCCATTTGTTTGAGTTGTCATGTAGTTACACAATTTGAAAGTCATTTTGGACCATTATGTTTTATGAACTGCTGTTATTGTTTGGAATGCCTGTGTCAAACCTTTCAATCAACACAAGCACAGTTCTTACAGAAAGCGAGAGTTTCCTACATTTTTGTAGGAGCTAATCTGTTTTGATCTGTATCTTGCGAAATATGGGAGCTTCAATTCTAAATCTCATAGTATGTGTTTCTGTTACCTGATAATACCTGGTAGATCCAGTTACAGTCTAGTGAAGATCAGGGCTCCACTGTGCATTGTTTATGACCTCTCAGACCTCTGTCTTTTAGTTAGATTTAGTTCATTATTTGGGATGAAGAGCTCAAGAAGATTGTGAGAATGAGATGTGTGTCATTGATGGTAGTGGGTTACTTTGGTGTAGTAGAGTTTTCAAAGTGCTACTGTGTAAGAAAATTCTATTTTGAGGGCTTTGGGAGGGAGAAGATGATTTTTGGTAATCATGTTGTGTTTTAATTTAAAATATTGTGTGCTTACAGTGTAATTGAATTCTCTTTTTTAAAGATGGCTTGTTTCCCTGTCCATACTTGCAAGTTGGCCTAGTTAAATAGTTTTAAAAAGAAGGCCAAAACAGACTGTGGTCTGACACCAGTCTTGTGCTCTGTGTTTGTTTTCAACTCTTGCACTTTTGTCTATTAAAGAGTTCCAACTTCTACACAGACTTAAGAACAGGTGGCCACACAAAATATTCAAACAATAGCATACACTGAAAATACTGTAGGGTAATTGTGCATGTAAAGAAATTTTTTAATGTTTTTCTTGACACTTTGTGCATTTTCACATAACCTGTGTCATTAATACTGACTGTGAACTACAGAGGAACAGGTGATTTTCAGCAAGCCTTTTCCTGTTCAGCACAGTAAAGGACAAAGTAAGGTGTACTTGTTCAAGCATGGTTCTTGTACTGAGTGCAGTGGTTACCTGCTTCAGTTAAGCCTCCATTTTCTGACTGCAGTTTGATGCACTTGTACACATCACAGTGAGAACATCCGTGTCAGGTGTTCTTTCCTTTAGTATATCTACTCCATTTCCATTTCTATATTTTAAATACACTTAAACTCCCTCTTATTATTACTCAATTCTGGCATGTTCTTGATTCCCATTTGGTGTGTGATCAGATTTCATACTGGGTATTCTTTTGCTGCTTTACTGCACATCTTCATTAATTGAAGAGATGACTCTTACAGAAATTGAAGGAACTTCCCATCCTGACATGTTGGCAGAGAGTTCAAATATTTCTTACATACAACATTAATTTGAGGACATACAGCTGGGAATAATATTGAAAACAATCACACAGGGCAGTCCTGTAAATCTAGATGTTAGAATCCATGGATGGTTCCATATTAAATAATTTACTGAATTTCTGTATTCTTAGATAGGTATTTTTTAAATTTTATATGGGTTAAATGAATAGATTCTCTGTAATAATCATGCCTCATTGGTCTGTTTCATGGCACTTGATTGTGAGCAAATACTGTACTGAGCTTCAGAAAAGGGTCAATTAGAGAAAGTTAGTAAATAATTGAAGAATTAGAGTAGGTAAATGTTGGGCTTGAAATTCTTACTGTATAAAATGTGAGTTTTCACTCATTGCTTTACCTCTTGTACAAAAACAGAAGGCTTCAGTGCAGGTGCTATCATGATAAAAGCTCATCAAACAGTACATTCAGTTGACTTTCCTTTTTCTGGTGAATGTTGGACTGTCTTTTTAAGAAATTAAACCAGTAAATTTTCCATAGCATTTTACATATCTAAATTTTTTAAAAGGGAAGCAGCAGTGCTTTGGATGATTTACTGTTACTCATTCTCTCAGGTGTGACTCTGAACCTGTAGTACTGGAAGTATGCAGTTTATAAAACATTTTTTGTAGCTGTTAGACAAATTGAAAATACAGTAATTGTCCTGAGACACTCAGTTCAAGCAATCTTCTAAAAGTCTTTGCAGAACTGAAAAATAATTTGAGAGGTTTATGTTTACAGTAATAAAGCAAATAGCATTTGATCTTCTTTTTCTGTTCACTGACTATGCCATCCCTCTCTCTTTCTAAAAAGTGATAAAACTATTTTTTTTCCTAAAAAAGTAGGTTGGTCCAAATGACTGAATAATATGTGCAGTAGTCCTTCCTTAAATGATTTCTTGCTTCTTGTGAATGTGTTGCTGGCTGCTTTATGCCAGCATATATGTACCACTATTTTAATAGTTCTGATTTCAGTGTGTATTTTTTTAAGCAGTAATAGTTTTGAACAGAAGAACAACAGAAAAACACAAAACCCAACGACAATGCTTTTTTCAGCTCAATCTCTTTTGCTGCAGGGGTATGTTGTAGTCCCACAAGGAGATTGAATAAAATCCCTGGCTGAACTATAGCTCAGCTGTTAGCAGTAGTCCTCTGCCCTCAATGGCTGGCAGTAGTGGAGAGTTCCTGGGGAACTATTTGACCTCTACCCTTTGGTTTGAATGTTCCAGTCAGAATCTGCTGCTTCTGTTTGTGCTCACTGTGAGTGCTTTATGCAGGTAAAGTGTGGGGTTGCTTTTCCTACTTTTTGGCTGCTTTATCTGTAGGGCACATCACATTTTCCTATTTCTAATTCAGAATGAAATGTTGTATTGTCCATATCTTAACAGTGTGTCTGTCTGTAGGATACTGCTTCTCACACCTTTCCTCAGAGTCCCATCAAGGCAGCACTTCTGTTTCTGGTGCAGCAGTACTCTAAAACTTTTATGAGAGCACAGCAAGCTGGCCAGTGCAATGCTGGGTGGGCTGTGACTCCAGTGCTTCTTTTCCTTTTCTCACCCTTGTGGTTTTCTTGTAACACTTGCTAGCTTTAGTGGTCAGTTATTAACATTGCTTCTGGTATTGTTGCATCTTCTTTGGCTGAGTTTTGCAGTTCCAAGTATATTACTCAATTCCTATGTCGGTTAGAAAAAGTTACATGTGAGAATATAAGTTTCTTCCAATACTTTCTACTTGTTTGATGAACATTGCTGTTACATTTATTTTGACAGCAGAGGTAAAATACAAAAAAAATTCAGTTTTAAGACTGGAGTAATTCAAATGTGAGAAATGGGGATTTTTTTTTTTTTGTATTTTAGTTAATTTGAGTATTTTTGAGACTCTAGTTGCTATTGTTACTATAGTTCCATTTGGCCAAATGTGTTTACAGAATGCATTGCTTTTAAATATTCATGTATTTTGGCTGTGGCTTACAGTCCTTAGTAGATCAGAACTGAACTGTAAAACAGATAAATGTGATGTCAGTGCTCAGAGAGCTTAGTTGGTGGACTGTACACTCGAGGTGCTTCAGCACAGAAAATGTGTTATGATTCTTAATCATGAGCAGAAAATGAAGCAGTTCTGTTAGCTGTTCTGGGTAGTAGTTTTTAATCAGTGAAGCAGAGATGAGGTTTAGAGGGCGACAGGATACAAATTTCTGAGAATTTTGTAATATAGTTTTTCTCCTACTGAGAGCACACTGGGAGAGCACTAGTGCCTAATAGTTGCTAGCAGTGCAAAGATAACAGCTCAAGCTCACAAGAGAGTGAGGTAATATTGTAGTGTTGACTCCAAAGGACTTTGGATGCATTTGTTTTGTTTTAAATGGGATAAAAATTACATCAGTACTGAGAGCTATAGGAACACTCAAAGGGTCATTTTAATAATTTAGGAATCATCTAGTCAGCAGTAGTCAGTAATTTCCATGTCATTAAAAGTCAGTCTTTGTTGCTATAAATCAGAGTAAGAACAAGCTAATATAGCATTAATTTAAAGCTAGTCATGCAGGGAGTGCAAGTATGTTAGCTGTCAGAAAGAGGGCTGTGAAGTAAAGTCCTTTCTTCACAAAAAAGGCATTTCCCAGTTTTGTTCTTTTTTCCCACTTCTCTGTCACTCTCATGTGCCTGATGAGCTCTGCACACCCTGGTCAGGAGGGAGAGTGAGCAAGTTCCAGGTGCTCACAGGGCTCCACAGACACAGCAGAGGTGTGGGACTGGCAGTGTCAAACCTCTGCATTGAAGCAGAGTAGCTGAACAGTCAGAAGGCTTCAATTTCCACCCCCTTGCATTCAAGTCTTGTAGGCTCAGGGTTGTCTTTCATCATGTCAGTCCTGGCAGATCAGCTGTTTGCTTAGGTGCAAAAATTCTTGTCATGATGGGCAGAGATTGGTGATGGCAAGATTCTGTAGTGTGTTTATGTACTGACTCAAACTGAGAAGCTAAGGGTGCTTAGAAAAAAAAACTGAGGATCATTTTGGCACAACTGCTGAAAATTATCTGTTTTTTGGGGTTTTTTTCTGAAAGGATTGTTTGGCCATTATTTAGTAAACATTTAATAACCATTTATTTGGCCATTATTTAATAACCCATTATGGTTTGTTAAAAAATTCCCACTGCTTGGAAGAATCACACCAGAATGTTCCCATTCTGACTTGATCTAGTGTTTCTACTTCAGCAAAAACTTTGGCAAACCTCTTCACAAAACTTAAACCAAACTGAATCTTGTGTCATACAGGTTCTTGTCATGTGAAATTCTGACTGATAACTTGGATTTCTTTCTTGTTTGTCCAAAAGATGTGATTGTGGGTCACACTCCTAGCAGAGAGGGTTATGAATAGAAAGCTCTTCCC